TTGTCTCCAATTCTGGGCTATTGTAAATAATGCTGCTATGAACACTTGTGTACAAGTAGTAAATATGTTTGGATGTGTGTTTTCAATTCTTTGAGGCATAGTTCTAGGAATGAGCTTGCTAGGTTATCTGTTTAACTTTTTGAAGACTCATCAAACTGTTTTCCAAAGGGACAGTGCTATTCTACATTCCCAGTTTCCCCAGGTCTTTGCCAAATCACCCTTATCTTTCCTCCCTGCCTTCCCTTCTTCTTCCCTCTCTCTCTTTCTCTTGCTCTTTCTTTCCTTCCAACCTAGTGAGTGTGAAGTGGCAGCTCATTGTGGTTTTGATTCACATTTTCTTAATGACTAATAACATTGAACATCTTTTCGTTTCTTCTTGGCCATTTTTATGTCTTCTTTGGAGAAATGTATATTCCATTGTATTCATATGCCTACTCTTTGATTGGGTTGTCTTTTTTTGTTGTTAAGTAGTTACAACTCTTTATATATTCTGATGCTATAATTTTGTCAGATATATATGGTTTGCAAATATTTTCTCTCATTGTGTAGGTTGTGTTTTCATTCTGTTGATCTATGCTTTTGTGTACCATTTGCAAAAAATTTGGTGAAGTCTGATTAATATACTTTTTTATTCTGTTGCTTGTGCAACAAGAATTGTGTCGAATCAAAAAAATATCATTGCCAAATCCAGGTCATAAAGATTTATGCCTATGTTTTTTTTTTCATCTAAAAGTTTTAGAGTTTTACTTCTTATATTCAGCTATTTGATTCTTTTTGAGTTCATTTTTGTCTATGATATAATTTTGTATATGGTATTGGTAAGAGTCCAATTTCTTTGCTTTTTCGTTTTCTTTTTTCTTTTTTGGAGACAGGGTCTTGCTCTGTCTCCAAAACCCAGGCTGGAGTGTAGTGGCCCGATCTCAGCTCACTGCAACCTCCTGGGTTCAAGTAATCCTGTCACCTCAGCTTCCCGAGTAGTTGGGACTACAGACGTAAGCTGCCATGTCTGGCTAATTTTTCTGTTTTTAGTAGAAACAGGGTTTCACTATGTTGCCCAGGTGGGTCTGGAATTCCTGAGTTCAAGTGATCCACCCACGTTGACCTCCCCAAGTGTTGAGATTGTAGGCATGAGCTACTGCACCAGGCCTCAGGTTCATTCTTTTGCATGTAGATAATCCAGTTCTTCCAGTACTGTTTGCTGAGGAAACGTCTTTCTCCACTGAATGATCTTGACTCTAGATGCATAATTTCATTTATAGACTCTCAAGTCTATTCTACTCATCTACATGTCTTATCTTCATATCAGTGCCACACTTTTTTTTTGTTATTTTATAGTAATTTTTAAATTACTGTATAGTAAGTTTTGAAATCAGGAAGCATGAGCTTTTTAAATTTTTGAGTCCTTTGAAATTTCTTATGTGTTTTAGCATATACTATTCCATTTCTTCAAAAATGTTGAATCTGTAGCTGTATCTGGGGGAATATAGACATCTTCACAATATTATGTGTTTGAATCTGTAAGCATTCAATGTCTTCTCATTTATTTAGATTTTGTTTAATTTTTTTCAGTAGTGGTTTGTGGTTTTCATTATATAAATCCTGCATTTTCTTGGTTAAATTTATGCCTAAGTATTTTATTCTTTTTGATATTATTGTAAATGGAATTTTTAAAGTTTCCTTTTCAATTGTTCATTTCTACTATGTTGAAATGCAACTAATTTTTATGTGTTGATCTAGTATCTTGCATCTTTGCTTATTTCACTTATTAGCGCTAATAGTTTTTTTCCTATTTAGGATTTTCTAGATATAATATCATATAATTGGTTTGTTTTATTGGAAAGGGACATTAGGAAATCAAGATCCAAATGCTAAGTGTACTCATAGCTGCTTCGATATAATTGCTTCTAGGGCCTCTTAGCAGACAGAGCTAGAGGATACATACATACACACATACATATATCTATTTTTATATATTAAAATCCATGAATTCTTACTGATTCCTCCAATTTCAATTCTATTAGGAACACTGGAGGTAGAACTCTGCATGTTGCAAGTAGCAGTGTCAGAAAAGCCCCAGGGTAGGATGCAAGAGGTATACTGTGGTCATTTCTGTGGTTGGAGTAAGAAGTGGCATAGAGATGACTTTGAACTGGCACACAGGATGTGTTTAGTTTACTTAGTTTCTGTAATAACACTCTCCTTGTTTTCTTCCTACTTCTCTGGATACTCTTTTTTGGATTCTTTTTTGAACTTCCTTTGCTCAATCCTTAAATGCTGGGTGTTCATCTGGGTTCTGTAATAAGCCTATTGCCCTCTCAGTTCACTTTCTAGATTAACTCGTTGATTCTAATGCCTTACAGAACCTTCTGGGTAATAGCTACAGCAGATGTTTTCTTGCTTCAGATAGGCCTATTTGAGTACATACTAAACAGCTTCACTTGGATGTTCTGTTGGTGCTGGTGTATCAAAATGGAAATGTCCTGAACTCATCACTATTTCACCCTTCCTCCTGGTTGCAAGTAGGTTTTCTTCCTGTTGCTCAATGGGTCCTTGTTGCCTAAACCAGAAACTGGGCGTCTCCATGGACTCCTGCCTCTCTTTCACACCCCTACATCCATGTCCTCTTGATTTACTCTCCTAAATGTCTCAAATATGTCCATTGATCTCCATCCTATGGCCACTGCCTTAACCAGATCACTGTTATCCCTTACTTGGATTACAGCATACTAACTGACCTCTCAAACCCATTCTTAGTCTTAGAACCCTTAAAAAGTTGAGTTCTAAGTTTTAGAACTGGCTGTGCCAGTTATTAGCTATATGATCTTGGTCAGATTGCTTAATCACTTTAGGACTCAGTTTCCTCATCTATAATACAGAGGTAAGAATAGTACCTACTTCATAAAGTAGTTGCAAGACACATATGAGGTGATGTAGTCAAAACTATTAGCATATTGGCTGACTCGCAGTAAATGATCAAGAAATGTTAGCTGTTATCATGATCATCACTGTAGGGTTATTCACCACACAGCCTCTGTTATTTCTCCAGTTTTTTTTCTGGTTGCTTTCAGTCCTTCAGCTTTTCTGAACCTCTTCCTGTTGCTCCAGTGTCAATTGCTATCTTTTGCTTCCAGGCCTTCCCTCTGCTCCCTTTTCCTGGAATTCTCTTCTCCCTTGCCCTTTGCCTTCATTCATTCTAAATGTATCCATTTTCTCTTGATTTGGTGTCATTTATCTGTGCTCCAATAACACTCTGTAACTTTCTTTATTGAGGCTCTTATCTCACTATCAGAGTTGCCCACTTATTCATTGGTTTCTCAGGTAAGTCCTGAGGTCAGGGACCAATTTACCTTGGTTTATCGAGTCAGTGCCTGACTCGATAATGAGTGAATGAATGGGTGATGAATGGACCATAGTGCCACCTGGGTTTTCTGATCTCCTGTCTAGTATACTCCTGGTGACAGCCGTGCCTGGCCACAGGAGTGGGGAAAGCTGAAGGAGTGCTTTGCCTGTACCATACCAGCCATTAGCAATTATTGCATTATTGGTTTCCCAGATTTTAGCTGGTCAGTGATTCCCAGGACTATTCCTCTAGACATGAACTACTTTTTCTCTCCTAACCTCCCCAGCAGTCTAATGACCTCTCTCTCACACGGGAACAGCTCTTGAAATTATCAGCTGGTCATGACATCTTTTGTTTTTTTCTTTTTTCTTTTTCTTTTTTTAATCTTTTGTCTCTAAACCTGAGTTTACTGTGTTATGTCTGCCTGGAAGTGTTGTATCAAATGTATGAAATTGCCAACTATTGGTGATTTCATATGGTTCATCCTCTATGTGATTTTGTAAGTTGAACCCATCTGAGAAGCTAACTGTACGGTAATGCAAACTGTGAGTAGCTACAGACTGGAAAGACAATGCAGTTGGCCAGGTGGGCCTGGGACAGTGGGTTAGATGGCAGAAGAGAAGCCGGACTAAGGCTTCTGAACGTTTTGCTCTGCTTAGACGTGGAAATATTTGGTTCAGAGGGCCTTTGCCTTAGAGTCCACAGGGACAGCCCTAAGGGCTGCTGTTCACACCTCCAGGCCACTGAGGTGGATGAACTTGGCTGCCTCTGAGTGGGAACCAGGAGGCCTAAACCACTATGCAGTCCCAGGCTCAGGGCCCCGCAGGCCCCAGCGACGCCGTCGGCGCTGGGAGGAGAGAGCCACTGGGTGGCAGCAAAGGCGCGCAGGTTTCTCCCGACAGAGGCGGTTCCTTAACATGCTGTAGTTTTCTTCTTTCTAAACTAATTGTTCTCACACTCTTAGAAATTTACAGTGGTTTTTATATTGCGAACCAGACAGTGTGAACAGAGACTCCGTTTGTCATATCCTCCCAGAATTACACGGATTTTTTTTTTTTTCCTGAGATAATTTGCACTTATTTTTCTCCCTTGTCATTTCCAGGAATCCCGAACTTTCTCTGGCCCGCAAAGGCCGTGCCCAGGCAGACCTGAGCCCGGAGCCGCAGGGGCGGGAAGCCGGGGGCGGGGCGGGGCACGGCCGGGTGGGGGGCGCAGCTTCAGGAGCCGAGCGACTTCGGGAACCCCGGGCTGGGCAGTCGTGCAGGCGCCCGGCACCTGCAGCTGCTACGGTGGCGACCGCGATCTTATAACCTGGAAAACAAGTTTAGAACAGGGCTTTTTAGGGAGAAGAACTGGGGAGAGTCCCCAAACGACCCTTCGCCGTGCACCGGTCCTTGGAGCAGTTTGTAAACGTCCCTCCTGCGTCTCAAAACGAAAACACTCCTTTATCGTCTCGCGCCTGTCAGAACGGGGCGGTGGAGACTAGTTTTGCGACAAAAGCGGGGAGCGAGGACTTTTCGGGGTTCACAGGAGGGCCCCTCGGAGGCGCGGCCACCGGGGGGCGCGCGACAGCCCCTCTCCCACGCCAGCCGGGCGGGGGCCGCTCGCGAGGTGACAGGAGGAGGCGGGAGGTGGAGGAGAGAAGGTCCCGCCCCACCTCGCTCTCCTTTACGGGAAGTGATGTGGGGCCAGACGGAAAATACCCGCCAACGACCCAAAAAGGCCGGCGGCGGGTGGACGCGGCGCGCGGGGACCCGAGCCGGGCGGGGACAGGACGGCGGGGCGAGCCAGGTGAGGGGCCCGAGGAGCGGGAGGCGCGGCGGGTCCGGTCCCTCCGGGGGGCGCCGAGCGAGGGGTCCCCGCGGGGCCGCCCCGGGGCTGGGGTCGCGGGCTGCGACGCCCTTCCTCTCCTCCTCCTGGCGCCCCGGCCCGCCGGAAAAGTGGCTTCTCTCCCAGTACCTCAGCGCAGACCCCATGGACGACAACCTCCCAGTGCTGGTCAGGTGCGGTCCCAGGTTCTGCCAGGGTCTCAGGTCGCCTCGGGCTGGCATCCAGGTGCGAGGGTGCCCATCAGGGGTAGGACACGTCCCTGGAGGGAGAGGAGAAAGGGCGCCGACCTCCCTCACGCCCCCCAGTTCATTCCTCCCTCTTTTGCCTTCAGTTTAACTATTTAACCGGGTTGCCTGCGGTTGGTGAGGGTCGGGGCTGCAGACCAGCCGCGAGGGAGGGGCTCTCCCTTCTGTCGGTCAGACAGAAAGCTCTACCTGGCAGCCAGGCCCTCCGGTCGGGACTGGTGCTGGGGCTGACGTGATGACAGGCTTTGTTAACTATTGTCAGAGCCTGTTTCTGTCCCAGTAGATCACCAGTTCATCAAAGTCAGGCCTGAAGTGAAGGGAATCTTGCGAGCCCTGAACTGAGGAGCCTTCACAGCCTTTTTGCTCCTGCTGGACACCTGGGCACACATGGCCTCGGCGGCTTCTGCCGCAGGGTCCTCTTCCTTACCCCTACAGCTAACAGCTGTTCTTTCCTTCTCGATGACTTCTCACTTTGTATGGTTGGTTGATCAGTCGGATGTTGGGGTTGGGGATAGAGGGATTGTAGAGTTGTGCTGTTAAGTTTTCTGTAATCATTGCTGATTAAATTTGTCGATTCTCCACTGTTCTTGTTCTTTTTTTTTCCTTTGGTCTTCCAAAAGCTTTAGAGGGAAAAAATAATCTGGAAAGCCGTTTCTGCAGATGGTTAGAAGTGAAGGAAGGTTAATGTAACACTCAAAAGACCTTGACTGAGGATCATTTCGTTTCTGTATTTTATGTTAGTTTACGTTAAGTTTTCATTCCTACTTTTTTTCTCTTTTCTGCCCTTCTCTCTTCCTCCCTTCCTTCTTCCTGTTTTTCCTTCCTTTCTTAATTTTCATGACCTGCCTTGATTTTTAAAATTTTATTGAAGTATATTTAATCTATTTTTCCTTTTTTTTTTTTTTGAGACTGAGTCCACTCTGTTGCAGTGACATGATCTCGGCTCACTGCAACCTCCGCTTCCCGGGTTCAAGTGATTCTTTTGCTTCAGCCTCCAGAGTAGCTGGAATTACAGGCATGAGCCACCATACTTGGCTAATTTTTGTATTTTTAGTAGAGACAGGGTTTTGCTATGTTGGCCAGGCTGGTCTTGAACTCCTGAGCTCAAGTGATCCACCAGCCTTGGCCTCCCAAAGTGCTGGGATTACAGACTTGAGCCATGGAACCCAGCTCATTTTTCCTTTTGTTGTTTGTGCTTTTGATGTCAAATTTAAGAAAACATTGCGGAGTTCAAGATTATGAAGATTTATACTTGTGTTTTCTTTCTTTCTTTTTTTTTTTTTTGAGATGGAGTTTCACTCTTGTTGCCCAGGCTGGAGTGCAATGGCGCGATTTTGGCTCACCGCAACCTCCGCCTCCTGGGTTCAGGCAATTCTCCTGCCTCAGCCTACTGAGTAGCTCGGATTACAGGCATGTGCCACCATGCCCCGCTACTTTTTTTTTTTGTATTTTTAGTAGAGACGGGGTTTCACCATGTTGACCAGGATGGTCTCGATCTCTTGACCTCGTGATCCACCCGCCTCGGCCTCCCAAAGTGCTGGGATTACAGGCTTGAGCCACCGCGCCCGGCGCACTTATGTTTTCTTCTAAAAGTTTTATAGTTTTTGCTCTTACATTTCATTCTTTTGATTCATTTAAAGTTAATTTTAAAATATGATGTGAGATGGGAGATCCAACTTCAACCTTTTGCATGTGGATGTCCAGTTCTTTTAGCACCGTTTGTTGAAAAGACTGCTCCCTTTTTAGTGGTTTTAGCACTTCTGTTGAAATAAATTGACCAGAATGTAAAGTTTTGTTTCTGGACTCTCAATTCTATTTCATTGATCAATATGTCTCTTCTGAGGATAGTATCGTATTACTACCTTGATTATCATAGCTACATGGTAAGTTTCGAAATCAGGATATGTGAGTCCTCCAGTTGTGTTCTTTTTTGAGATCGTTTTGACTCTCCAAGCCTCTTGAATTTCCATATGAAATTTAAAGTCAGCTTCTCAATTTCTGTTGCTTTGGTTCTAGAATAGATATGAGGGTTTTGAAGTGGGCAACAATCTCTAGGAACCAGACTTTTGAATTTTCTCTCCCAAAGTTGCTTTCCCTAGTCTTCTCCTTCTTAGTGAATGGCAACTTCTCTCTTCCAGATGTTCACACCAGATATCCTGAAATCAACCTTGATTCTTTCTCTTATGCCCCACATTAAATTCCTTAGCAGGCCAGGCGTGGTGGCTCATGCCTGTAATCCCAGCACTTTGGGAGGCTGAGGTGGGTGGATCAGGAGGTCAGGAGATCGAGATCATGCTGGCCAACACAGTGAAACCCCGTCTCTACTAAAAATACAAAAAATTAGCCAGGCATGGTGGCACATGTCTGTAGTTTCAGCTACTTGGGATGCTGGATTTTGTATTTTTAGTAGAAGGTTTCACTATGTTGGCCAGGCTGGTCAGGAGGCTGAGGCAGGAGAATCGCTTGAACCCAGGAGGTGGAGGTTGCAGTGAGCCAAGATTGCACACCTGCACTCTAGCCTGGGCAACAAAGTGAGACACTGTTTAAAAAAGAAAAAAAAAAAAATCCTCAGCAAATCTCACTGATTCTACTTTAAGAATACACCTGGCTGGGTGCGGTGGCTCATGCCTATAATCCCAGCACTTTGGGAGGCAGAGGCAGGTGGATCACCTGAGGTCAGGAGTTCAAGACCAGCCTGGCCAACATGGTGAAACCCCATCTCTACTAAAAATGCAGAAATTAGCTGAGCGTGGTGGTGGGTACCTGTAATCCCAGCTACTCAGGAGTAGCTTTTACATATATATATATATAGAGAGAGAGAGAGAGAGAGAATACCATCTAGGATGATAACCATTTCTCACCACTTTTGCTGCTCCCCCCAAGTTCCTATCATCTCTGTCATCTGGATTACTGCAAAAACCTCCTAAAGGGCTTCCCTGCGTTCACATTCACTGCTCCACACTCTATTCTTAACACAGCAGCCGGAATCTATTATGTCACTCTGCTTGAAACTCTCCAATGGCTTTTTATGTCAGAAGAAGAGATAGAGTCCTCACCATGATCTGTAGCGCCCTTGCATGGTGTGTGGCTTCATCTGCTATCACTCTTTCCTTTGCTGACTCTGCTCCAGCCATACCTCAGGACCTTTGCACTTGTTTCTCTGCCTAGAATGCTCTTCCCCTCAGATGTCTGCATGGCTTTTTAATTTATTTCATTCAGGTGGAAAGTCATTTTTCTAGAGAGGCCGTCTTTGATCACCTCACCTAAAATATTGCCCCTCATCCATCCCATCATTTTCTGCCCTGTTACCTTGCCTTATTTTCTTTAGAGTATTTATAGAACTGTCATACACACACACACACACACACACACACACACATACACACACACACACAAATATTTGTCTTTTACTGGTAGAAGAAAAGCTCCATGATGGCCAGGAATCTGCCTTGTTCACTGCGATGTCCATAGTACATAGAATGGTTTCTGTCATATATTAAGCACTCAAGGCCAGGCGCGGTGGCTCAAGCCTGTAATCCCAGCACTCTGGGAGGCCGAGGCGGGTGGATCACAAGGTCAAGAGTTCGAGACCATCCTGGTCAACATGGTGAAACCCCATCTCTACTAAAAATACAAAAAATTAGCTGGGCATGGTGGCGCATGCCTGTAATCCCAGCTACTCAGGAGGCTGAGGCAGGAGAATTGCCTGAACCCAGGAGGCGGAGATTGTGGTGAGCCCAGATCGCACCATTGCACTCCAGCCTGGGTAACAAGAGCGAAACTCCATCTCAAAAAAAAAAAAAAAAAAAAGCACTCAAAAAAATACATGTTGAACTAGTGAAAAAGGGAATGGAAGACGCAGCAATAGGGACCATTCTGCTATTTCTCCCATCCAAGTACTAACCTGGCCCAACTCTGCTTAGCTTCGAAGATCAGAGGGGATCAGACGCGTTCAGGATGGTATGGGTGTAGACCGTTCTGCTATTTCTTTCCCACAATTTCATCCATTTTTTCTTAAGAGAAGCAATGTCTACAGATATACCAACATCTCCTGAGTCTCTCCTCTCCTGTCCTACTTTCCCAAAGGTGATAGTCTTATCTTCCTTAAAAAGGGAAAGGTCAAATAAGTAGAAATGTGAGGCTTCTGGTCCTTCTCACAGTGGCAGATGGGAGCCCTCTGCTCTGTATCCTGGGCAAACTGGGCAGGACCACTCAGCGCCTCTCTCCAGGGTGTTGGCCTCTTGTGCTGATTTAGCAAAAGTGAGGTGTCTTGGAAATTTAAGAAAATGGAAGTTCATTTCTTATTTATTTAATGATTCATTTATTTAATAGAAACGGGGTTTCACCATGTTGACCAGGCCCCCAAGAAGCAAAATTGTCTTGCCATTACTAAAATGAGATTAGTTCTTGAAGCAATTTTTCCCTTCTATAGCCTTCACTTTTTATGCCACATGCAGATTTTTGCTTGGACCGTATTTGTTCGTCTGCCTCTTGGACAGGAAGTTTGAGTTTATGATTTGGTTTGCCTTAAGCTGATTACCTTGGGTGCAGACATGAGCACTGAACTGGAGGGAGAGATAAAGGGTTTGTAATTTACTTATGCTGGTAGGGTAAGGTGTGTGGAGTAGAGAGCATTCAGCTCCTTTTGGACTCTCTGTGCAGGTACTTGCATGATTGAGGTCTGGTAACACTCGTATTTTATTTACTGCCAAGTAA